TTACTGTACTACTGGTACAGTATCAACGACATACCCCCTGTTCAATTCGACTATCCTCACAAACTCAAAAATTCAAGGCTCTTTTTACCATAACCAAACCAAATGGATATTGCAGCTTTTGCGTGCAATAATAATCAAGCCTTGATATATATTAATTATACTATTAATATAGTACTCCGCACTAGTACTAGTTAGTAGTGTGGGCGGCTCGACGTGAGTGGTTTGCAATGAACACTGTCACTGTACTACTATTTATAGTACTCGGTCCCATATGTTTCACAATGTTAACAAGTTTACTCGTCGTCGTCTGGCTGTACTAGCGACGCATTGTACTGTTCAATAAACCGATCCAGTTCGTCTGTGTGGCCGCCCACGGCTTTTCCCTTTGGAACGGTTGCAGGCCGCATCACATCCACAATCAGCACACACCTAACAGTGTCGCACAAGAATACCTTAACTGTGTCACATGTACCGACGAGGATATACGTACCGGTTCGCGGTGGGGTGTTTGTTAAACGCATAGTGCAACTTGCTGTCGTCAAATACAATCAATTGTCCATTTTGATGCGGACGAACTTCGCCAGCAACGACCATACAACAACACTGTTCTTCTTCTTCTTCATTGGGTGGTCCATTTGTTTGCTTTAACGACGGTACATCCAGACCCAAATGTACCCGGAGAATGTCGTTGGCCAAGTCGGCCCAGCCCTGCCACAACGAAAATGTGCGTTTGATATATTTATATATATTATTTTTTCAAGGATACAACGCGCTTCAATGGCAGAGAGAAGATATATATATGTATATAGCTCAGACCAACTTATAGTCGACTACACCAAGGACACATCCATTCAAGATAGATGATGTGTTTACCACACATACAACCATGATATTCCACTTGACTCTGTAATAGATGATTCCACTAAACTATGTACAGTAAATAATCAGCGGATTCAGTAATAAATGATGGGTGCAATATATGATTCAATAAACGACTCTGTCATAAACGATCAAATGGACCTTGTAACAAGTGACACACTATAAGAAATGATGACCCAATGAACTCATTAATAAATGATAATCCAGTTAAATAATAAATGATGATTCAACTAAGTAATAAATGATGATCCAACTAAGTAATAAATGATGTTTCAAATAAGTAATAAATGATGATTTAATTCAGTAATAAATGATGATTCAACTAAGTAATAAATGATGATTTAATTCAGTAATAAATGATGATTCAACTAAGTAATAAATGATGATTTAATTATTATGCTTTCGAGTACGACAAACCACGCCACAACACGAAATTTCTGGAATTTAAATCGATTTGATTGGCTACCTCAGATGAGCTCAAAATTATTAGCCAATCAAAACGTTCTCAATGAAATTCAACCAATCAGATCGATTGTGGATCGGTTTCGTAGGCGCGATTCGATTGCACCCCCTCCCCGAATTTGTATCAAATCGACAATAAGCAATATATGATGATTCAATGAACTCTGTCAAGTAATCCAAGACTTGTTT